CATTGCAGGTCCTTGTGGGAACTGGATCCAGAACAATGAAAATAATTAAAATAAAATCTCTGAAGATCTATGCGTTTGGTTTTTGTAAGTTTTTAGTATTTCTTTGTTACTTCCAGTCTAATATTTTTTACATCCATTATCTTATTTGCTCTCTTATTTATTTATCTATTATTTCTATATAGATGTTCATCCTTACTCTGTTTGCAAGAAATTGGGGTCAAAATATGCTTCTATTTCAGTAGACGAACTAAACAAACGCCATGATTTTTATGAGGATCTTCTCAGGTATGGACAACTATCATGCTACATGGAGTAATTCTCTATATTTCTCAGACATATTTTAGTGGTGAATTAAGATCGATATAATCAGTACATACTAAATCCTTTTTTTTGCTTTCTAATTTCTTTCCAAGCTTGTGTTGGCATGAGTCCCGTATTGCTCAAGTTGTTCAATTAGTTTTCATGGATCTGCTGCTAAGTTTCTGGTTTTGATCAACTTTCTGCTACTTTTTTGCCTACAGGGCGGATATTGATATGACAGTTAGGCTTGTGGTTAGTTGCAATGGGATGAAAATCAATACTGTGAGAGAGTAAGTTATATTTCTGTCTCAGCATCCCCTTGGATATTTATATGGGTTTGGATGTCCCTATTTTAATTGGGACATAGACAATCTTGAGGCTTTTTTCGTTTTGATATAATCTTCTTGGCTTCTTACTGATAGAAGATTACTGTTCTTAAATATTCATTGCTAGGTTAGCTCATTGTGCATATATTCACCTGTTTCAGATATCATCTTTGTTATGATACTATCTCGGTTAGCTCCATGTTTTGTAGTGGTTTGGGTAGGCTCACATGGAAATGGGTGGTGTGTTTGCGATAAATTTTGTGAGTTGAGCTGAACTTGGATGGCATAACCAGCTATGCTGTGGGATAAATTTAGGCTTTAGACGTACGAGCTAGAATTTTTTACTAGTTCTTAACTCATTTATCATCTGAAACCAAAAACTGATTGTGCAAGTTAATATACCATGTTACCTAAGCTTAGTTTGAGCTAAGTTAGCCTTGTTCCTTTCTCACTATGTATCCTAGACATGTTACAACAATGTTGAAAATTGAAATTTAGTTTTATGCATTCTCATTTGTGTCCTCTGGATTATACTTGATGCAGTGCCTTTGAGAAATCCCTTCGAGCCCGATTGGTGAAGGTAAATCATCTCCCTTTATAGAATCGCTGTTTTGTGTTTCTGATCTAGTATTCGCTAATTCTTTTCATTTTTGTTGACCTTTTTTTTTTTTCAGACAAACCCAGAGACTGACTTCCATTGCATAACAACATTCCGTTCAAACTTTACACAAGATATTCCGTTGCCAGCGGTAAACTATATTACTCTTGCATTTCTTTTTTATATTAAGTGATCACCAAATTACTTAACTTTTTGGAATATTTCAGGGAACAACAATTGATTTTCAACGAACAGCTGATGGAAAATTAATTACCAAAAGTGAGTGGGGATAGCTTTGAAATATTATATTTGGTTTATGCTAATAATACATCTGTCATGGCTTAACCATGATGGCAATTTGAGCACAAAGTATACAGCTTGAAAAGACCCCAGAACCCTCCCCTGCTTCCCAATTCTCTTCACTACTCTTTTCTGTATGCTTCTAATGCTCTATTTACCAGTTGAAGGTTTTGTTTGCTTAGAGTTTTGTATGAAATTTTGCAGTTGAAGGTAATCAGATTGGAGCAGTCCACAGCAAGGATCTGTGCAGTAAGTGAATTGTCCTTTTGAACAATCTGTTTTATTTCGAAATTCTCCTTGGAGTTTTATATCTCATCACGTCTCCATGAAATTGGTGAAGAGAATCCAATCGTATACTTTTGTGGGGGATATATTTCTAATGCACAATTGTACTTTCAGGGGCTTTCTTTGACATGTACCTCGGAGATCTACCTGTGTCGGAGCAAAGTAAAGAAGAGATTGGCAGAAATGTTGCTAATATTATTAGACGTTGCTGAAATGGTTCATTTGTCTCCATTGCCTCACTTTTTTAAAAGGGCAAGTGGTTGTTGATGCGGCGAAACTGCCTGCTGCTTAGCTGTATTATCCATTCGAGTGCACTCAAGCTCAACAGTGTCGGATGTCAAAGACGTCAATGTGGCCGAAAAGCATTACAAGGGCAATCAGTGAGCTTGCTGCAAAAGATTTAAGGCTTGGCTGGGGTCTCATGGCCTCTTAGAATAGTTTTCTTGTTAGTGTGCCATTCTTTGTAGCTATTTTCTGGTGATTTGCATATGATAGATTTACAGTCCCTACAAATCATCAGGTTCCAAGTGTAGCAACTGCAAGTATAAATTGCATACGAACATCTTTTGGTTTAACAGTATATACATCTCACTATTAATTTCTTGTTTCCTTCATCCCTTCAACTCAGTTCATTTCTGTGGGGAACATTTATTTATTTTATCTTGTGTGCGTGCGCCCGCAGTGTTACGGTCGCAATCATCACAACTGAAACATTCACACATAATTTTTGGGTCCTATACAAATCTTAAACATTGTAGCCTAAAATCGGTCAGTCTAAGAGCCTTCTACCAAATCTTCATATAAATTTGGAGGCCGCCCCAGGCCCTTGCTGTAGTGCAAAAGCAAGAGGGACGCTTAAGAGCACCAGTAGCGAGCTGGTCCCTCCCGTTGAAGAAATTAATTAAAAATCATATTAAACTGTTCATCGAAAGGCCAAGAAAAGTATGCTTTGGAAGACTACGTAATTGGAGATTTTTGCGTCCCAATATTTTTTAGGGGTTCTTTGATCTGAGTCCAAAATTCCTACCCGTTATTGAGTTTAGTCCACACCTTTTTTGCTGTAGATTTGGGTCCATTGACTTTTATTAATTGCATCTTAATTAAAAGATATTAGGTGGGAATGAATTTTACGGCAACAAAAACATGAAAAAAAAAAGTGAGCTAAACAAAATCAAAAGTAAAACAATGAGGAATTGTATTATCAAATAAGAAAACAAACAAACAAAATCAGTGAATAACAAAAGCTGTGGCAAAGAGTAAAAGAATATTTATGTTGCCATAGTGCAAGAATACAAAACCACAACAGAAAGAAAGCCAATGTTCATATAGGAGTATGATTGAAATATAATAGCTATTTCAAAAATTATAGGAGACGTGATTTGTGGCAGTATTTTCCGTTTATATTATTTTGACAATATCATAATTATTATGACAAAAATTAATTTCTTAC